GTGAAGGAAGTAGTCAAGGCGAGCTGTCCGGAATGTGGGAACTGTTTATGACGATTAGATAAGGGTATGGGCAATCCTAAAATGCTACGGGAAGGGAGGGAAACAGGTCCGCGACGTAGGAAGTGGTGAAGGAAGTAGTCAAGGCGAGCTGTCCGGAATGTGGGAACTGTTTATGACGATTAGATAAGGATATGGGCAATCCTAAAATGCTATGGGAAGCGAGGGAAACAGGTCCGCGACGTAGAAAGTGGTGAAGGAAGTAGTCAAGGCGAGCTGTCCGGAGTGTGGGAACTGTTTATGACGATTAGATAAGGGTATGGGCAATCCTAAAATGCTATGGGAAGGGAGGGAAACAGATCCGCGACGTAGGAAGTGGTGAAGGAAGTAACAAAGGCAATCATAAAATGCTATGGGAATAGAGGGAAACAGGTCCGTGACGTAGGAAGTGATGAAGGAAGTAGTGAAGGCGATAAGTCCGGAGTGTGGGGAATGTTTATGACGATAAGATTAGGGTATCTGCAATCCTAAAATGCTATGGGAAGGAAGGAAAACAGGTCCGCGACGTAGGAAGTGGTGAAGGAAGTAGTCAAGGCGAGTAGTCCGTAGTGTGGGAACTTTTTATGACGATTAGATTAAGGTGTCCGCAATCTTAAAATGCTATGGAAAGGAAGGAAAACAGGTCCGCGACATAGGAAGTGGTGAAGGAAGTAGTCAAGGCGAGCTGTCCTGGGTGTGGGAACTGTTTATGACGATTAGATAAGGGTATGGGCAATCCTAAAATGTTATGGGAAGGGAGGGAAACAGGTCCGCGACGTAGGAAGTGGTGAAGGAAGTAGTCAAGGCGAGCTGTCCGGAGTGTGAGAACTGTTTATGGCGATTAGATTAAGGTATTTGCAATCCTAAAATGCAATGGGAAGGGAGGGAAACAGGTCCGCGACGTAGGAAGTGGCGAAGGAAGTAGTCAAGGCGAGTAGTCCGGAGTGTGGGAATTGTTTATGATGATTAGATTAAAGTATTTGCAATCCTAAAATGCTATGGAAAGGGAGGGAAACAGGTCCGCGACGTAGGAAGTGGTGAAGGAAGTAGTCAAGGCGAGTAGTCCGGAGTGTGGGAACTGTTTATGACGATTAGATTAAGGTATTTGCAATCTTTAAATGCAATGGGAATGGAGGGAAACAGGTCCATGACGTAGGAAATGGTGGTGAAGGCGAGCCGTGTGGAGTTTGGGAATGGATTTATGCATCTCCAATACTAAGGTGCTTTCAGAGTGAACTAATGATTTTCCCCGAGCAAAGCTCGGTCCCCAGGTACTATCAATAAAAACAGTATACAATGAAGAACTACTGTACTGTGTATTGAGTACAGCAATGAGGCGTTCGGATTAGTGGACGTTCGGGTTGCAGGGGTTCGGTCTAAAGAAGTTCTACTATATATACGAAGGCTCCTTGTATACTCTGTGGCACCCCGCTTGCCGCTGCGGCTGGCTAGATGCACGTCAGCGCACATAGGAGCCCCAGAAACGTGCAGCCTCTAGGTGCATATGGGACCTTTTATACTCAGCGGCAGGTGCTGTCAAGTGCTGCCAACTGATAAAAAAACTCAGCCCAGCTCGGTACTGCCTTGCCTCCCTCATTTCACTTTCTGTTGCCAGTGTGGTAGGTGGTTTTGTTTTTCTTTCCTGTGCATGAGTTTACTAAATTTGTGTATGCACAATTACGGAATCAACTACGACTGATGTCAATATCGCACATAGTATTAATTCTGATAGCCCCTGGAATACGTATAAATGAATTTATAGGCTTACCTCCGTCAGTAGTCCAAAACTGTACGTCTAACTTCAAACAATGTTGTTCAAAGCTGACATGTTTTGTTGCAAATGCAGCATCTTTACGTCAAATGCTTTACGTCAAAACATCAAAATAATTTACACATACAGTACATAAACACGACACAGGACACTTAATAACTTGATAGCAGCATGACACGGCGCAGCAGCGGTTGTAGCCTACTTGCAGGTGGACTAGAAAAAACGTAAAGCTGACATTTGACGTTTTAAAGCTCCACAATGTTGCATTTGCAAAGAAACATGCCAGGTTTGAACAACATTGTTTGATGTTAGACACAATTTTGGACTACTGACCGGTAAGCCTATAAAGTCGATATCGGACAGTTTAGCCTACGGTATCAACAAAATCAAATCAACACATCTAAACACTAGGATAACTTAGTGGTGAATAGAAATTCTTAAGTTGGGAGCCCTGACAACACCACCTATGCCTTGGCCGCCACAAAACGTGCGGCAACCACCGTCAAACGCAACAGCGTGCGGCAGAGTATAGCAGGGGACTAAAGCAAATAAAAAAACATTTAAAATTGAATAATGGAAAATTATGTGTAATCTGACTAGCTTAGCCATAAAAGACCCCATTTTACAACTAGGTAGGCCTAAAGAGTGGATCCTAAACAATAATCTGCCCCTCTTGCCCTCTTCTAGGAAAATCTAGGCTTAGGCCTAAATCAAGGGCTGTCTCCCGGCACAGAAACAACACTAGCCTATAGACCTCTTAGGGTGAAAACATAGTGGAGTGGCAAGACTAAATTTTAGCGGAGAGCGTAGCTGAGAGTTTTTTCACCCCTGATGATAGCGGCACTGCACATGTACAGTAGGGTACAGTTTGGGGTCAATACATCGCCTAGTGGATCGCCCATGTAGCGAGTCAAGACAGCTGAATTAGGCCTACAGTACTTTTGAATTTAGGCTACTTTAAACCTGATTTGGTACTTTGGTATGATGCGGAGGCCACCCTTATACTGCGCTGCAACAGTTATGTTAGGGTGGGTTATCATAAATATGTTAGTAGGACTTTCCTCGTTTCATTATGAATAAAAAAACACCAGATCAAATGAGATGAGGTGAGCATGCGCATCACCTGTCACCGCCTATAACTGATGTGGCAGCTAGAGGCGGTGACGCATTCAACTCAATCCTCGCCAACATCGCTGCCTTCTGGGAGGCATATCTCAAAGGCAGCTAATTGTAATTATGTCAAATTTGGACAGTAAGTCAATTAAAGTATGTTCTTTCCATTTATGATAACCCATTCTAACATAACCGCCGCAGCGGGCTGTATAAGAGTGGCCTCCGGATAATACCAAATTACTCTAGATTTAGGCTATCTATCTTGAGAATATATTGTAGGATATATTACTGATTTTGTAAAGAAATTGATGAATGGTGAAAATAGTAAAGGGAAATTAAATAAAAGAAGCGTCTTATAACAAGCTTAAAACAGTAAGTTAAAACACAGCAAAGTGACCATTCATTGAAAAACTGCCTAGGCCTTCATAGCCTTTACATAATATAATAATACAAATTTCATGGATACCTATATTTAAATATAGAAACTTTTTTTCACTATACAAACTAAGGAAAAAAAAACTGAAACAGGATAAATTGTTTATTAAATAACTTATGTCACTTAATGAGATTTAACTGTTACACCCTTTTGACAAGATTAATTACACAATACCATTTCATGCATCGTAATTTACATTAACTTATTCCTTGTCCCAAACAGGATGGCGTTCATGAACTGACAAAATAAAAATACATTTTATAATCGGTTTGACTCTTTACCAAACCCTCAAGGTAAAGCAATCGCAGTGGAATATCGTAGCGGAGACTTACGTGTAGACGCAGACGTACCCGTTACACTATGTTATGGCGCACCTAAGTTACGTACATGTATGATTTTAAAACCGCTAAGCTACACTCTCCGCTACGCTCTACAACTACTATGTTTTCACCCTTAGCCATTGATCATATCTCAGTCTGCCACACTTTTAATAACTGTTTACTTACTTAAACCAAAATTCCAGTGTAAGTTAAGTTACTGGTTGTAACTTAGGCTTGACTTTCTCCAATGCAGTAGGCCTACATTATAACTAGGGCCTTCCAGTTTTACGGGGTACACTTCCATATCTGTTGGCACAAAACAACCTAATGAAAATATCGATCGATATAGGCCTATCTTTTGGTTAGTTAGGTAAGGTAAACCTCACCTAACTAAACAAACGAATTTAACAATCAAATAATCAATATTACTCATTCGGTTGTTTGTGCCAACTGATTTGGAAGTGTAACTGATTACCTTCTTCTTAGCCTGAGACCAGTATCACACTGGATAAGCTGCGTCCAAAATTATTTATATATATACATATTTACAAATGCTATTTACTATTTACAGAACTTCCAAGATGGAGTTATAACGTGTCACGCGGATGGCGTGGACAATAGTCTACTGTTAAGTTCCAAGTTTGCTTCGAACAACTCTTTCAAGCTGTAGTAGGGCTGTTCTCTCATGAGGCTCTTAAGATTTGAGGCAAACTTGTTACCCTCAAGGTGCTTGATTCCGTCAGGGAGATTATTGTAGAGCTTTAGGGCCAGTTGGTACCAACGGGCCAGTTAGTAGGCTACCCGTTTTAGGCAACATTGTTCTTTTATGCATGATGTTAGAGAAACTCAAATTCAACTTAAGTAAATTATAGTAAACCGGCTGTTTCGAAAAAACAATTCTTTAGGCCTACAGAGGCCTAGGCCCTAGGTAACCATTATAGTCGGTATAACTTAAAAGTATCAGTGTTGTCGATTTTAATTTTATTGACATTTACAGTATATTATAGGCCTAGGGCTAGGTATATTTTACGTATTATTGGCCTACATTATGATATTAGTTTAACACTGTTTTTCTTTAACTTAACATTAAACAAAACATAGGCCTAGGCTACGTACCATTACACAGGCCTTCTAGTTCATTTTCCATTTTAGGGGTTAGGTTGAACTGAACTTACTGTTGTACAATGACACCAAAATAATTATTTTGGTTTTTTTTAACTGGTTCAAGAAGGATGTATTAATCCAGTTAGAGTAAGATAACATTTACATCGCTGCTGATCAGAATTAATTAAGGTTCTTTGGTTTGAGTTCAGTCAGGGTTTGTTTACCCAATACCCAACGAACTGACGGACGACAGAGTCGGACAGTCACACTCGACAGGACGAGGACAGCCGACAGCGACAGGGCGACAGACCATAGAATATAGAATCATTGCTTGACTAAGCAGAACTACAACAAGAACTACAACTACAACTATTACAATTTTACTTTTGCTCTCTCAATCCTTGAACCTCATTGGTCCGATGGTCCGATACCCGTGTTGATATGAGTAAAACGGAGTATGTTTTATCTATGGTAAAACTATGCTGTTATGAAAGTAAACAATGCTGTTAAGAGACAGGCCTACTTTTCAATTCTAATAACTGCACTGAAACGGCTACGGTAAATAATAATAATAAAAGGTCGTAGGTAAATAATGTTAACAACACTCGTAGAAGTTTTTAAGCCACTCGCCAAGGCTCGTACCATAAATTTTCTACTCGTGTCGTCAGTGGCGGTTCTAGGACCTTGTCAAGGGGGGGGTCCACCGGGGGGTTTGGGGGGTGTGGAGCACCCCACAAGGAAAATTTGCAATTTTCAAAGCCGTTTGGTGACTTTCTAAAGCCATTTTTAACACCTAAAACCGTGCCCAATTGTCCATAAACTCCCATTTCACCTGCTGTTTGTCATGAGCAAAAATAGACATTTAAAAAATTAAGCTATGATGATTGCATTAATGAATTTCAAACCCTACTTTAGACTACGGCCATATCCTAATAAAAACAGATTGATGACTTTCTACAGCCAGTTTTACCGTCTAGAACTGTGCGCAAACCTCCCATTTCCCCATTTATTTGTCATGAATAAGTAGACATTTTTAAAAATAACTATGACGATTGCATTCATAAATAAAACATATTGTAGGCTACGGCCATATCCTCCTAAAAGCTGTTTACTGATTTTCTAAAGCCATTATTAACGTCTATATCTGTTATCCAACTGTCCAAAAACCTCCCATTTCACCTGTTATTTTTGTTAGTCATGAGCAAGTAGACAATTAAAAATCAAACTATAATGAACTTGCATTCATGAATTTCAAAACATAGGCCTACTGTAGACTACGAAGCCATCTCCTAAAAGCCGTTTGGTGACTTTATAAAGCCATTTTATAACGGCTAGAACTGTGTCCAATTGTCCTAAAACCTTCCATTTAAACTGTTATATGTCATGCAAACAAGTATAAGCACGTTTTTAACCTTACGTTTTTCTCCATTTCATAGATCTGTCACAATATGTATAGAATCGAATTCATTAATAGCATTCATTGACTATGTAAACTTTAACACTTAGTGTTTATATAGTCAATGGTAATAGGCTACTGGTGCTACCGCTGATTGCTGATTGATGCCAGTGTAAAGTTAGTAGCCAGCAGACAATTTTGCAGAAAACCAGCTGTTTCCCCGTCCTCGCTCGCGCGCTCGGCGCTCGCCTTTGCCCTAGAGCATGTCAACAGCTGACTGCTGTACAAATTGGATGATTTGTACAACTTTCCATAGCGTTAATATTGTTTTATTCGTTGTGCTATTGTCCACAAAGTGTATCTATGTGGAACTTAATACTGCCCCTGCCATCGCTTATTAAGTTTAATAAAAACTACATTGATGTCTGTTTTATGGACGAATTTGTTTTAAGGACGAAATGTACATTTAAATTTTTTTTCCAGGGTCCAAGGGGGGGGCTTTAGCCCCTGTAGCCCCCCCCTTGGAACCGCCACTGTGTGTCGTTAACACCGCATCTTTACGCAATCGTTGCGTAAACTACTATTATTCCACGGATAGAGCAGAAACAGTATGGATCATAAATATTATAATCAAATTACGACTTGCTTGAATATTATACTAATAGCAGAAATCAGAAACATTTATTGCCGAAAACATTACAAACATGTATAGGCCATCTTCAGGTACCTACAATTTGTAGTAAACATGAATTGCTTGGTACCTCCACCTTATGAGTCTCTTACCTTACCTCCTGAGCTGTTTGCGCTTGATGATTATGAGTGTTTTCAAGTGCTGAAAGAGTAGCCGACAGTTGCAAATAGTCGCAATACTTAAAATATTTTTGATACTACAGTAGGTATATAATATGATTCTGTTTAGGCCTCAAGTAGTTGAATAGTTTTTCTGGTAGTTGGAGAGAGGATACTGGTATTTGAATATAGATTAATTTAATTACCATTAGATTATCACTGTTTGTTATATGATTAAAATTAGTTTTAGATTATTTTATTAATTTAAAGTTGGAATTAAATACACATTTCACACAACTATGATAGAACTCTAGTTTTCATGAACTCAGCGGTAGTAATATAACAGTAAAGTAAAGTCAGCCCTTGCTAGCCACAGTATTAACAAGGCACATTTTCATTCTGGGAAACCTTCAACTTTTAAAACAAATTATAAAACCTCGACATCTTAATGCGTGGGAATCTTATTTTATAGAAAAAATAGACCAAAATTAATTATTTGTTATATAGTGAAGACGGCTCAATTATAAACTCGAAATTACTGAAAATAATTACATCAAGAACAACAATATAATATATATCCAAAATTCAAAAGATTAATTTTTCTAATATTATTTTTTATTTTTCCAATATCCTTTAAATCATCTGTTTTAACTTGGTTTAAAATTAATTTATTAAGTAAATATTTACTTTTTGTACTAGTGTAAACACAGCCTGAAGATGGAAACCTAGTTTCTGAAAGCGCTAGTGAATAAATCAGTGGTAGTAGTTTTTTTATTCAGTTTGTTACCGGGGCATTACGGGACATTACATGATATCCAGTGGATTTTGTATATGTCCCGGGATGTCATGGGACATTCTGGGATATCCTATGGCACTCGTACATATCCCAGGACTTTACAGGATATCCTGAGGTTAACTTACAAATCCCGGGACATTACGGTATATTGTAGGATATCCTGTGGATTTTCGTACTCGTACCGGGATTTTGCGGGATATCCTGAGGGGCTAGCGTACATATCCCGAGACATTCTCAGGACATATGGGACTACTATAGGATGTCCCTGGCTGGGATAAAGTGTGCTGTCTGGGTTGTCTTAAGAAAACAACCACGATGAAGCAGTCTTTAAATCGTCTTTAGATTTCTATCACAGAAGTTGATTGAAAAAAAATGTATAAGTATATAAACAAATGTCAACAATACATAAAAATTTTTTAACAGTTAAAAAAAGTCAGAGAATAACAAAATAAAACTCAACAATATATAGAACAAAAAATTTTTAAAATTGCTATGGGCGGTAACAGGAGATTCAACAATAAAACATACATTTAACATAATAACATTAGACAATAAAAAACAAACAGCACATCTGACATTAACAATAAAAAACTAATTGAACTTGTTTTCAACGAAATTTTTAGTGCTGTAAAAAGGCTTTGCTGTTTAAAGATAATTCAACTTACATTTAAAACTTTTTAAGGGTAGACAAGTTAACTTATAAGGAAGGTGATTCAACATTTTTAAACCTATAACTACATGGCTCTTTTGAGTTTTACTTAACCTAACTCTAGGAACATGGACGTTAAGTTGTGCGTTAAATACTTGTGAACATCTCTGTTGAAAGTACATTCTATTTCTTTACTATAGACACATAACATGAAAATATATAGATTTATCACAGTCAATATTTTAAGTTCAGCAAAAAGATGTTTACAATGTTACAATGAGCGTTCAATTTTGAGCCTGTCATTATTATAATAATCTTTTCTGCAAAATCAGTACTTCATCAATTCTTGAGCTATTACCCCATAGAATTAAACCAAAACTGATGTCACTGTGAAACAAAGCATAATAGACATTGATAGCATAGGTTGAAGGAACGAAATCTTAACACTGATGATAACAAAAATATAGCTCCTGGACAGTTTTGAACATACGTGGTCTATTTGGTTACTCCAGGTTAGATTGTGATCTATTTTCAAGCCTAACAGTTTGATACATTTCGGTCCTATGGTCAACCTGGGATATCCCAGGATATCCACTGGAATGCGTAATGTCCCCGCCCGGGGATGTCTTACGGATAAGCTCACACGCATATACGTAGGACATCCGAGGTCTTTTTTAACGCCATATAGATGTTGGCACTCACCGATATGGTCTTTATCACCATGCAAAATTTGAAAACGATTGATTCAGCCGTCTAGGAGGAGTTTGCGTATTACGAAATGCATAAAAGTCGACGTATAAGAGCTTCGCTCGCTCCGCTCAATTAAACTGCAGATTTGATCCATTATTTTTGGGACACGGTGTATTTCAGCCTGTGAGAGCCGGAATGCCTCTTTCACTCCTTTGATAACATCAGTCTGCGGAATCCTAGGCAAGGATTTTCAAACATTAATAAGAGCACTAGCTGAGAGATTGTCAGGAAAATGGGTTAAGCCTTACAGCCTGGTAGTTAGTTGGATCAGAACGAGACTGACTTGCTCAATTTTAAGGGCAACAAGTATGTGCCTGAGAAGATCTCGAAAAAAATGGAGATCTGCTCGAGAATTCGAAGATGGAGCAGGCATCCAACATATTTATTGAAAGAATCAAAATTTTTAGTAATATCTATAAATTTAGATTTATTTGTCTTGTCATTATCTATGTTAAATTGATTTAATTTGTAAAAAAAATTGAACTTTAAACAAACAAACTTTCACATTTGTAATATTACTGTGGTTTGAAGTAACAATAAACATTAAAAATACATCAATATACATTGTAAAGTTGTTTTGCAAGAAACTATTTTTTGCGACTTTTTGCTAATTCTCCTTTGGATCGGTGCCTGCTAATTCTTGGATTTTGGCTCTCCTACACCTGAGTATGGGGGTTGAAAGGATTTATACAGTTCGATGAGCAGAGTGGCCGCTCCGCGCGACCGGTCTCTACCCTTGGGGGCCATGAAACTAACCCTCGTCAAAAATCTGACCACTCCGCGCAACCCGGAGCACATGAAAAGAGCCCGAAATTTTAATCCCCATAAAGGTTCACTAATCTTAAGCATGGAAAGAGCCCGGGTCTCCACAGGTACCTGAGGAGGAGGACGATGACTCGTGTTCTGAAATAGCGTTGTGTTTGGTTGGGTTAGGTTAGGTTAAGTTAGGTTAGGTTAGGTTAGGT